AACGTGGTCTCCTTTAATAGAACTGATACCCCCAATTTTCTCATGACGTTCATGAGTTTGGGACACAACCCATTTACCTGTTCGTAAAGCTGATACAAAGTTTCCTCAGGAACTCGAATCGTCCCCGATTGTTTGCAAAACAACGTCCCAACGGCCCCTCTGAACAATCAGAAAGTAACGCGGGCTCACAACTCGTCGCGTCTCACTTGCAACTTACCATGACATCTGATTCGAATGCGTCGAGGTTGTCCACAGAGTTGAGTGCTACAGAAGATTCTTCCTGAAGACATTGGAAAGACCGTCGAAGATTTGCCTCTTTGAGGTATTGAAGGATGACGCGAATGACACTGAAAGGAGATGGATAGAATAACGAGAGGCGACAGCAGGGACATCCAGGGATGATAAAGATCCACGTACTCCGATGCTTCGACGTTCTTGGCGAAAGGGTCGTTCATCGGGTCCACCTCTGTTTTTCCAGCAGTCACATCCTGGTGGCGTTCCCCGTAATTTATTGTCTGTGGGGAGATTCAAGCGGCGGATGATCCGTTGAGTGCCAACTGTACTATCTTGTGAAGAATCAAGAATGAAGAAGTTGCAGATGCGCGTTAGTTTGGCTGCGGGTTTATTTTTTCTCTGTTTTAATCCGTTGGGTATCCCTTACGCTTCAGCAGAGATCGACGCAATTGCTCCATCTCAGATCAACCCAAGTGCATCATCTCAGATTGATTCGATCACTCCGAGCAACCCAAGTGCATCATCTCAAATTGATTCAATCACTCCATCTCAGATCAACCCAAGTGCATCATCTCAGATTGATTCAATCACTCCATCTCAGATCAACCCTGCATCTCAGATTGATTCAATTATTCCATCTCAGGTGGAGCCAATTCCTCCATCTCAAATCGTAGCCGCGAATCAGACTATCCCATCATCCAACGTCACTCTCTCTTCTAATGTTGGCCACGTATCCCTCAATGGAGGCGTCGTGTTTCCACAATCTCCCACTCTCTCCCCCGACGCACCAATCGATTTGAATTCTCCCCAAGTAGCTCTGCAGCAAAATGGTCTTGTCAACTCCAAATTTCAAAATCCAACTCAGTCCGATGGTTTTTTGGCTGTTCAGCCGGGCGGAAATAACCCAGCGCGTCGCATTCCATCAGATGATAACGCTCCAGTAGCTGCCGTTCCCTCGGATAGTGAAAATATTGTTTTAAAATCTCCCAATCCATTAGAGCACCAACATGAGTCTCAAGTTACAGAATTCTCGACGTTGCTGGCGGAAAGCTCGAAAAAAGAAGAAGACAACAAGGAAAGTAGCGTCGGAGTAAAGTTGCTGAATGCGAGCATTGGATGTTTGCTGGCTGGGATTTTAGTGTATGGCGCTCGTCGGGTTTTAGTGACGATGTACGAGCCCAGTGATTACAGAACTGAGTGGAGGAAGGCATACGCTAACAACCAAAGCGGTATCGTTCTCCCGACCGTTCTAGGCAAAACAAGGGATGTTGAGTATCAACCCCTGTGATGCTATTGGTCTGCTAACAGTGTAGTGGTTGTTTGCTAGACGCAATAGATCCAATTTTTCGCACTTAAAATCTCGCACTCGTTTTTACCTGGTCCTGGTGGGCAGCAGAAATGGTGAAACAGGCCGATTCTTCCTCCCAAGAAAGGAACTCAGCAGGGAAGAAGAATTTGTCAAAAAATGAAGGAAAGAAGAACGTCAAGGGAATTAAAACACTCAGCGCAGAACGATTACGTCAGCTAATTCCTCAAGTTACAAACAAAAATCGGAGAAGGGATTTTGCAAGTCGTCTTCGAACTCTCGTGAAACAAGAAAGAACAAAACGTCGTCGTTCCCGTCAAGCTGCTGAAAGTAGAGGAGAGGTAGTTGAAAAACAAACACCCCACACAATCGAAACGTTAAGAAGGGCGGATGAAACAATAGGTAAGCAGCGAATTTTTTACTTATTATTACTCAACGAATGGTTGGTTCTGTTTTCATCAGTTGAAGCGGAAGACCAAGAAATTCTAGAAGCAGATGAAACTGATGAATTTAGCAAGTACTTTCAGGGAAAATCTACCCCCAAGATTTTGCTGACGACGTGTAAGAAGCCATCAAGATGTTTATTAGAGTTTGTAAAGGAATTGCAAATAATCATTCCTAATGTCTTCTACTATAAGGTGGGCTGATGCGATCATTTGCTGCTGTCACTTTCTTGATGTTTCAGCGAGGAGACTATCGTATCAAATCGATTGTCAAATATGGAATTAACAAGGAATTCACTGATATAATCGTTTTAGCAGAACATCTAAAGAGACCCTCTGGGATGTACATCTCGCATCTCCCTGAGGGTCCAACCTCATTTTTCAAACTGACGAATGTCAAGTTGGCTCAAGAGATGAAGGGATCTGCTGCAGTGACAACGCATCAGCCAGAAGTGATTCTAAATGGATTCACAACAAGATTGGGAAGAAGAGCTGCAAGACAGTTGGCTGTGTTATTCCCGCAGGTAGGTGAACAGACTCGACGCTGCCTTCATCTGGTTTCTTCTTCAGCGCCCTGAGTTTCACGGTCGCCGTGCCATCTGCTTCCATAACCAACGTGATTTCATTTTCTTCCGACATCATCGTTACATTTTTAGCGAAGGTGGACGCAAGTGTAGATTGCAGGAAATCGGGCCACGAATGACGTTAAAGTTGAGATCAATGCAGCATGGAACGTTTGATCCATCTGGCGGCTTGTTTGAATTTGAATGGAAGCCTGATATGCAGGTTGATAGAAAGAAAATGTTTGTTTAGTCATCTCTTCCAGTTTTTTCGTCCCGAATGTTTTCGCTCCGATAATTCTCACCATTTCATGAACCATTGCACGGATTCAAACCCACACCAATTTGTAGCCAAGCCTTCTATCCAACTATTCGCCCACCACCCGATAGCATCACTTATCAAACTTGTTTCTGCTGGATGTTGCAGAATCCTCAATAGTTGGTGCATCAAAGCGTTGCAGAATTGTTACACTCTATAGATGCAAATGATATCCTATCCTGGGACAGATAGGTCAGCTTTGAAGAATAATAGAAAGCAAGCGTGGAAGATGAAACGACGAAAGCCGAGCAAAGATTTGAAAGAATTGGAACACACAGACGAGGAACAAACAAAACATATTAGACAACCCGTTAAGAAGCGAAAGACCGAAAATCTACAATATGAAGCCGCACTTTCTGTTTCATTACAAGATTCTATTCAAGCTGGGACAAAAGTTCTCCTCCACCCCCGTCCGGATATTTTTCATGAGTCGAAAGAGAGAGTGGATGAAACGCAAGAGTTTGTTCTTATCGCTCGATTTATTTCAGCAATTTCCTTCAATGATGACATTCTTCAGATGAGCAATTGGTGTTGGAACGATTTCACCCAATGTATCAACTTGACAGGCTCACGAGTTGAAACTGCGCCGCCCTCATCTGTTACCACAATAGAAGAAGATCTCCGCCAAGTGTGCCCCAACAAATCAGAGTGCGATGTGACTACCACACGTCACAACTCAGCCGTCGATTGCCCCTTGGAGTCAACGATGACAGCCTTCTGTTTTTCCTTTCTACAACGGTTGCTTCAATTGTGCAATAGACGGCTACCAATTCAAGACCAAGAGGGAGTCGCTTCGGCACATCATGCCTTGGAACGTGCAATTGGACGAATGTTGAAAGGATGTTCTACTGAACGAATGTGCTTGTTCTGGGAGACAAATGGGAGGAACCCGTTGCTCTCAGATAACGAGGATCAAATACAGCATTGGAATCAGTTATCAGCATCGCAGGTGAAAATAGAAAGCGGTCTTCATGCTACAATGTTTTCTTTATTTTTCTAGCGAAGTCGCGTGATTAAATTCTTGATCGGCAAGGCAATTGAAACATCAAAGAGTGTTATGAATGTAGGCAAATATCAGATCAGTGATTGAATGAACTATTCGGGTTCTTCAGGCTATTGATGAACACGATTCTGAAACATTGATTGGAAGATTAAAGAATGAATCGTACTGGTAGGCCCTGTGCTTAAATATTTTGTTATAGCACTAGGTGTGATGTGCACTTCCTTAAGAAGATCATGTTGATCTTGAAGATATTTCCATCTGAGATCTATGATCTCGATGGTTGAACTTCTTATGTGTTTTCAGGTATTTTCCCAATAAGCACAGCCCGAAAGACATTCGTCTTTATGCGGTCAGTGAGAATGCGCAATTTCTATATTGTAGTCGGCTTTCCAGGAAAACGACAAAAATCAATTCGAACTGCTTGCTTCCACATTTCCGGCTCTTGTTCAAATCACGGAAGAGCTTGAAGAGGTAGGAGATCTCTTAAAGCTCTCATTAATGAATTTGATCATTGATTGATTAGCAACCCAAATAAGATTCTGAGTACACAGATTGCAGTAGCAATTGTTGCCTGTCTTCTATAGACATTCCCAGACAATGAAATGACGAAGGCTCTGAGGGAACGCGTCTCTGCGATTATCCAGAGTGAGAAGGAATTGGTGCGACGGGAGAGACAAATGAAGGCTGTGTTCGCCTTACAACAAGCCGCGCAGGCCTTTACTGGAGAGCGTAAGTCTTCTTGGGTTTTTGCGCGTGTGACATCTCAGCACTGCAGTTGCTTTTCGCACAAGACGACAGAACAGACAGTCGCGCGACGTCCAATTGAAAGAGATCGTTCCGCATGATCGCTCGACGAGGGCTCTGACAAGAGCACATGCGAAAGACGAGCGGACGCAACAAGAAGAGAAACTGAGAAACCTTCCGTTAGCGAGACAGTCAGGGGGAGAACAGTTGGGACATGAAGGCGAGGAGGTTCAAGAAAGACGGAGTTCTAGCAGTGAAGAAGCAGTAGAGGAAACAGAGCAGGAGATGGGGGCGTTCGAACGACACTCTTCGCCCTGATGCTGCTGAGGATGTTGAGGATGTGAGAAGCAAGGAAGAAGAATGGCACGATGAGGAATTGAACGCCCCGGATCAAAGCCATAGCAATCAATGTCACAACAACAACGACGGAGGGCTTGACGAGGATCAGCAGGTCACTGGAACCTGTGTGAGCGAGAGATCATCGTGACGAGAAGATATTCACAAGGAGATTCCGATGTCACACTCCATTGCAACAGAATCCTGGTCAATCTGTTTCCCAATCATGTTGACAAATCAAAATGCACTGAGTTTGTTTCTGCATACGATGCTCAACACGAGATCACTTATACAATAAGGCTGGAAACTTATTCAAAGGTACGCGCCATGATCCCGTAAAGAAGAGTTATTACGTGAGAAAGATTTCTAGAGGAACGTTTTGTTGATACGAATTCATCTTGGTAAGGACTCTCAAACTACGAGAGAAGGAGACTGGCGATTACTTCGTTTGTGGCCTGTTTGTTCTTCATAGGCTTCTCAGTAAGACTCGGGTACAAACAAGACCAACTACAAGTGAGTTCAAACATTTTAGTGTTGTTAACAGTCCTCGAGTATCGAGAACAAACGAGTTGCAGACTCGTGTTTGGTCACCGCCTATTTCTTGCAACAGATGGCCCAACATCTGTGTTCTTACTTGTAGGCCGGTGGTAACCTCACTCGTTCTTGAGGAAGAACGGCAGTGACTTGGGACTGACTCCCCGCTCAAATGAAAGACTTTGTCAGCTCACTCGTAGTCCTTGTTTGAGGATGGAGGAAGCAAAGCAGCTTGTTAAAGGATTCTGGATCGCTTTTTTTTTATGATTTTTACAAACCTGTGCCCAATGACAACATCGGACACTCGGATAGGCGAAGAGGAGGGAGAGTAGAAAACAGATCAGCGTTCATCGACCTCTTTTGGAGGAGAGCAGAAACCAAGTGGAGACTTTGGAGAAAATGGGAAATGAGGGGGAATAAACATTGGAGCATGGGGTGACGCCCCAATTTGAATGGGTGGAGGCGGAGGCGACATGAATGGATGGAGAGCGTCATGGGGTGGAAATAGGGCGGGAAAGGCTCTCATGGGAAGTGGAGGACAGCCCATTGTATGATGGGCTCGACGATGACGATTAGAGTTTGATGCTGCAACAGCGGCAAGTCTTGGACCATGATTTTGATTCCATGCAAGAAAGGCATTCGATTCGCCTGAGAGGAAAAGCAAATAAACTGAACGATATAACGCCTAGAGAAGGGTCATAAAAAAATAAATACCGATTGCCATCATTCGGTAGACGAATTCAAACATGATCGAAATTTGCTCGAAATGGGGGTCTGTTGCGTCCACCTAAAACCGAATATTGATCAATTCCACACCAAGCAACTCACATGAGGATAAAGACTTTCTAAAATAATTGGCTCCCCTTCACGCCGCGACTCTAAAGTGATTTTATTTCTTAATTCATTATCTTCGAATTTCAAAAACTCTAAATCCTCAGCGGCAATCGCTTTTCCGCTATTCTGTATCTTCTCTTGGCTAGACAAGTTGGATTCAGCTCCAGTAGAGGGTTCGGCTCCACTTGATGGTTGCTTCGTGAGGTCCTTTTGCGAAAGTACGGAAGGCGTTTCACTTGAAGTTTCCGCTTCATTGCTGCTCACTAACTGCAATTCGTGATGCCCTTCACTACGCGACTGCTGAGCTTTTCTTCGTGCTGAGGCGTTTGCAGCTACAGTCTCAATAGAGGGAAACAACGTGCCATGATCGAGGCCAAGAGCCGTAGGGGACACAACAATAGTCTCGCATTGTCGAGGTGTCGAACAAATGGACACTCCAGCGTTTTGGGGATCCGCGCGTCTGTTTTCATCGGATCGTTGCTTAGTTTGCTGGAACTCCCTGGTGTCTCTCGACCTCGGGGAGTGTCCCAAAGTCGGGCGCTTCTGTTGACATCGTTTCTGTTCAGCGGCTGTGATCATCTGATTGATTCGGTTGCACGGGGGATCGATGGGAAACAGAGACCGCCAGTTTGGTTTTCTTCGCCCTTGTTTGCTGTCAGCTGATGAATCCTCTTTCCGGTCTCCATCGTCTTGAGCTGTTTTCATTGCAGAGCTGTGCATGGAGGACTTCTCAGAAGGAGAGCATATTGTTGACTCTTCTTGCAAATGCGGGGACGAAACATCATTGAACTCATTGCTAGAACCTGCTGACGATAACAGATGTCCCCTCAAAGGAAGCCTAATTTCTTGTGGCTGGACATAAAGCGGTTCATTCAAGGAATCGACGATTGGTGAGTTGTTAAGAGAAGATGAATTGGATCTCTCCCTGGAATTTGGGAAAAGAACGTGAGAAGATGATGGAGAAGAATTTTGCCCGCTTGGAGGCGTGTAAGAGGGAGAGCAAATAAATTCTGCCGGAGGAGGAAGTGCGTTAGAGAAGTTCCCGAAATTGGGGGAATGCGAAGGAAGCGTCAATGGTGTTTGAGGACAACGTAAGGTGTAGTCTTGCGGATATGGTTGGCAATGAATGTCCGCCATGACTGCTGGAGGGCCTGGTAGAAAATCGCTTATTGGGTGTGGGGACACGTCTTGACATGAGGGACTGTAACGCTCGACTGAATGATCCATAGAAAAGCGTGCAGAACGGGATCCAGAAGTGTCTTGTGATGATTGACAAGGAGGTGGAGGAGGCGATGAGGCTAGAGCGAGACTGGGAGCGACCGATGAGGGAACAAACGCTTCAAATAGATCGTTATACCCTTTCGTCAAAGAATTAAAGATTTCACGGCTGGTGTACTGAGAGAGAACGTGAGGGTGGGAAGCAATGAAAGAACTGGCGAACCTGATCCCTTTTGAATCCTCGGCAGCAAAGATAAAAAGAAGGATCGACGCAGTGAACATACTCAGATTTAAAGGGTCGAACAGAATCGAATAAGTCGAAACATAACTAAATGGACAGAGAGGGTCATTTTATCTTGTAAATAAAAGTAATAGATAGAAATGATAATCGGGTTCGAATTCCACGCTGGGATAGAAGCAAATGCAACAATATAAAGCGTGACTCACTATAATCAAACGAAATGCATTGTTAGATAAAGACATGTGCGCGGAGAAGCGAAACAGGAACATTCCGCGATCAACAAGAGCTTCAAGTGCTAAGCGAAACTGATTAATCTGGAGGGAGAAAAACCAGAGAAAGTATGAACGAAACGTTGGTTGGTAAATAAGACGCACGAGCAATGCAAGCTTAGCGACGCTTGGATCAGCAAAGCGGGTTGCCCTGTAAGGGGCTTGCTGAAACTCCTTGCCGGGGAGATACTGCGCGTCCGCTATGACGATATCCACGTGCGAAACGCCAGAGGGAAGCGGGGCGGAGGGAGGGGAAAGCAGACTGCGAAGCAGGAGAGGTTTGGAGTGTCAATGGAAAAGCTCACTCGAAGTAACAGAGGTGGAAAGGAGGCGGTGGATGGATGCGGTTGGTATCGATCATGACCTCAAATCCTCCCAACTTGCTAGGCAGTGTGACACCGAACCCTTGTAAGCACCGGGACCTCCCTCCTGCCCCATCCAGAAGAAATTGACTGAACCCTCCAGGGGCGCAAGCGACATCAAGAAATCGGAATCCAGAAGCATTTAATCCAAGATCCATTTTATCTGAATTAGATTTGAATTGACTAGCAACTACATGAACAGCCCACCAAATAACTCTTCCATCAAATTGTAGCATGTTTTAAAATGAATAGATGTTGCCTCCGACATCTGATATGTTTCTGAACGCACCCTGAGAGAAGCAAATTCCCTGATAGCAATTTTAATAGAGCACACCTTCTACGATAGTCGCGTAAAACATTTTGGATAGAAGGATCGCTGGACGAATACGGATGAGCTCCATTAGTACTATTTTGGTTTAAACGATTACTACGGTTTCTATTATTCTGTCGGCCTTTATTGATGTTTTTATCTTGCGACTCTTCTTGATTGTTGATCCCGGCGACATGATCGATTCCACTGGTTCGTTGATCCCCCATTGGATTCTCCCGTCTTCCCTCCCGATGGTTTCGTACGTTTATGACTCTACGGGATAGTCGAAGGTTCTGGTCCGATTTTCCATGATTTGGTGGATTCTTCTTGCTGGAGCGACCAACGAGAGCGGATTTGACTGGCTGTGTCGTGGGGTGCCTTTCAAGTCGATGACCTGGCTGTTGCATAATTGGATGTCCCCCCCTTCGCACGTTACAAGTCTCGTTGATTTTGAATCGTCATGTTCGCCAATCTGGCGTTCCTGTTAGTCGCGTCCTGGATCTGACTTCTCATAATCTACAAACAGTGGGCGCGCATCAGCACTCATCAATGTTTGCTTGGATGAAAAAGTTGAGAACTATCTATAAACGATAAAATGTACGGGAGTTTGGAAGGGATACACAAACGCTTTGTGACTACGACCGTTTTTCTGTATGTTTTGTCGTTACGCGAGGGGACTGCAGCAGGTTCCGCTCTGCTCGATGGGGCATAGAACTTTGTGATGTAGAAGAAAACACCCTGAAAACAAAACAAGAAACCAGCGAATGGAACAATATCTTTTCCGCCATCGTACGGTGTCCAGATGAAAAGATAAATAGCAAGATAAATAGCAAGATAAATAGCAAGATAAATAGCAAGATAAATACAAAGATAAATAGACTTACGAAGACGACAACCGTGATAACGATATTGATACAAAAGTTTCTGAAGTATCTCTGACTGGAAACAGACACGCCGCCATGAAGGGCGCTTTCATCTTCAACTGGAGAGAACCATTTTGATCAAAAATCTTTTAGTATTGAGCAACTCACTTGGAACTTCCACACCACTTCCTTGGCGTAATTTCGATGCATCACGTTCGCTAAGTATAGTGTTCAGAACGAAACCAATTCTTGCCCCAGCAGTAAGGATCTGACGTTTCGTCACCTCCAATGCTTCAAATTCATATGTCGACCCGATTTCAAACCCATTTGGAATGATAGCGCCACTACGGGACTCCTTATAGACGCTATTACACACAAGATGCAATGACTCTGTCGCCCATTTCGCAAACAAAAGATGTCGTGTGGCGGATTCATGAGAATCCCACTCGCGACGCAATGCTGTCAGTCTGTCTCCAAGTGAATGAGAATGCGTCCAACCCCCATACCAGAAAGCGGGTCGCTCTTGAATTGACTTCTGAACCAGAGCTGAATCCCAATAGTTGAACATCGTTGTCTGTTTCTTCTCCCGTTGGGCATCAGTATAGATGAGGGTGATATTGTGGCCTCCGAAATCTTCAGCAAATCCAACATGCAGAGGCTGGTGAAGATCCCCCAAGAGATTCACTAGGAATTTAACGGCATCAGAGTCGGTCAATTGAAGACCGTCCGGATACTCCAACTTAACCAAATTTGGGCGGCCTGTGAGACGACCATAGAAGTGTTGTAGCGCGCGAGTTAAACATCGATTTTCTGGGCAGTTCAAATCTGTTGCCAAAGCCTCGACGCAATCCCATTTCGTTGTTTGATGTTGAAAATGAAATGAAGCAGTCTTGGGGTATTTGGCCTCCACGCGGTGAGCCCAACCAGCGACATCCACCACATCTTTGCCGCCCATTAACCGCTTAACTTGAGCTGTGGCTTTGCCCACCAGAGCTGACATTGCAGTCATTCCGATGGCTTGATGGCCTTCTAAGTCCCATGAGGCGGCGAGTTGCACTGAACACAGCTTTAAATTTAGTGGGCAAAGAAGCACAAGTAGCAAAAATGAGAAGTACTGAAGTAAGCCACTCCGCCGTTGATAGGCAGACGCCATCTTGTGACAAGGAGAGGGATATTGCGAGTTGCACGTTTATAAGCCCCCCGCAATTACGAAGGAAACGAGACCCCAAAAAAATATCACTTGGTTCGTTTTTAGGAGATACACAGAACCAGACCGACAAAATTCACAGGAGAAGGAATCAGGCACACTTCATCGTCTATAGCGTGGTTGCGGTATGGTTGCTTTATATTGCTGAAACATTGACTTCGCTTCGACCCGATGTTGTTTGTCTTGCATTTCTTTCAAGTTGTTTCCCTTGAAGTGATTGAATTGGGTTCGCACGATACATCGATTAGGAAGGACGCCAGCAAGGTGGTTCAGTGTTTTGGTGTTGTGCTGCAAATCAAAATTATTGTACGAGACGATATTGGGCACATGAATCAACACTTTTCCTGCAGGGGCCAGCGCTTGAAAGTCCCGGATCGGTCCTTTTCCTCCGCCTAGTTTTGTTTCTGGTATACGGCGACATATGGCTCGTGTTGGATAGAAATCAATGATATTCTGATGGTGTTTGCCGTATGACCTGTTTTAGGACAGTCTTAATCATTTCATAGTGCTTCGTTCTCAAAGCGCGCGGGCCAGCCGCCACTAGGGTTTTTCCGATTCGAACGTCTGGTTCCTTCTGGCCATAAACGAGAGGAAGTCTGACCTTCGAATAAATCTGTCTTGGGGTCTGATATCTGATCGGTGGCATTGGATCTAAAATATAACTGAGACTACACGCTTATTATAGGGCTCGATAGAATTGCATGCAGGACCTTTTGATGGAAGAACTTCCGTCAGCGTTCGCTCTAATCAAGAGAGCCGCTGAAAAGGCGAACAGCGTGCTGTGTGTGGGACTGGATCCAACCCCTTCATCGTTGGAGAAATTCTACAAGTTCCATCCTGAACTCGAACGGAGTGTCTCTATTGCAAAAGATGCTGAAATATATTGTCGATATCTTATCGATGAGACCAAAGATCTCATCTGCTGTTACAAACCCAACAGTGCGTTTTTCGAAGCCCTTGGACCAGAAGGATTTCAAGTAAAGAGTGTTTGGGACGGATCTACTGAAAAGCTTTTGACCTCTGATAAATCGAGAATGTAGAAATGGATGTTCATTCATTTTCTCTCCTACAGACGTTGAAGACTATTTGCGATTATATTCATTCGTTGAAAGTCCCAATTATTCTGGACGCTAAACGAGGTGATATCGGTTCGACGGCTCGCGCATATGCCAAGTCAGCGTATGAAGTGTTCAACGCGACTATCGTCACCGTAAATCCTTATCTGGGGCTGGACTCTCTTTTGCCTTTTGTTGAATCCTACCCCACGAAAGGGATTTTCGTGTTATGCCGGACGAGCAATCCAGGTATTTGTTGTAGTATGTCGTTAAGTTGAATCTGTACCGAGGATTTGTTATCTCGTCGCAGCAATGCTACACATCGCACTCACGACTATCACTACCGTTTCTTATTTCAGGATCAAAAGATTTGCAGGAATCTGAAATTGTCACAGGGGATCGACCGTGTCGTCTGTATGAACGCGTTGCTGAGTTGTGTTGCAATTCAGATCTTCTGGGTAGTTCCAGTGGTTTGGTCATCGGTGCAACACAACCCGAAGCTATGAAACAGATCCGACAGAAACATCAAAATGTTTGGTTCCTCGCTCCAGGAATTGGAGCACAGGAGGGCGATTTAGCATCATGCGTTACTGCAGGCTTAGCATCTGATGGATTCGGACTGATTATTCCGATCTCGAGAGCGATTGGAGAAGCATCGAACCCCAGAGAACGAGCCGACCTTTATCGTAGAGAGATCAATCAACGTCGTAACGAAGTACTTATGGCGCGAGATTGAACTTATATTTTCTATACTGTACCTGGTCGTTCACTGCCACTAAAGATGTTTCCGTGGCTCGAAACATTCTTGGTGTTCTCAACAGTAGAGAAAGTTTGGAGCCGTTACCTCGATGTTCGGCAGATTCGTCGGCTCAAGCAACGCCAATTCCCAAAAGAATTGGCAGATTGTGTTACCCCCGAGGAGTTCGAAAAATCTGTTGATTACTCGCTGGATAAATTACGGTTCACTGTCGTTCAAGAATCGTTTTCCTTCTTTGTGAATTTCTTGTTCTATGTCTTTTATGTGCTTCCCTATTTGTGGAATTTCACTCTTCAATTCAATCGTCGCATCCTTGGAACCTCCAATCAGTATCTTGACGTACGATTCACTGGTTCGAATGTCCACAATATTTTTAATCTTTGTAGGCCCTCGTATTTTCGGGAATACAAATTCCGATTGGACAAGCCCTTAGCGTCCCATTCAACCTTTATTACGATTTTGTCATTGAAGCCCGCCATGGATTCAATCGAAAGACTTTGAGTTTATTCATCGTTGATGACTTGAAGAAGATATTTTTAAACCGCAGTTATTGGAGCGCCGATTCTTTGCATCATTTTATGGGTGATTGAATTCGGTGGTCGCACATTCTATATTTGGGTAAACGAGTGATAGATGATTGTGTTGTATCAAACAAATGATCATTTTCAGCTTTGGGGTGTGTCAATGGTGATAACATTTGTCATGATGACAATCTATCCCAATTTGATTGCGCCGATGTTCAATAAATTTGAGCCTCTCAAAGATGAAGAGCTAAAGACCAAAATTGAAGACCTCGTGAGCCCTTGGTTAAAAACATTTCATCCTATTTATCATGTACTCATGTCTATCGGTTATATCACTCTCGTTGGCCTCTCTATCAAGGTGTGTGTTATTTCTCCAGGCAAAATCTATAGACTATCCATTAAAGAAGATTTATCAAGTCGACGAGTCCAAGCGTTCTAGCCATAGCAATGCCTATATGTATGGCTTTGGTAAAAATAAGCGCATTGTGCTGTACGACACCCTGTTGGAGTCATCACACGACAGCATTGTAGCTGTTGTCGGGCATGAATTGGGACATTGGAAGCTTAGCCATACTCTCAAAAATCTCGTCATCTCTTTCACACATATGTTCATCATGTTCTATCTTCTCGGATTTGTTCTGTACAACGACCACAAAATTTATGAAAGTTTCGGGTTTGCATCGACTGAAGGTGACAAACGTCCAATATTCATTGGCCTCCTTCTCTTCTCGAATATCTATGAACCTGTAAGATTCAAATCTTCAATTCTTCCAACAAATCGTCTCTCCAGGTCTCTTTCTTAATTTCAATGGGGATGACGTGTTTAAGTCGCGTATTCGAATTCCAGGTAGACTCACTCCGTCTTTGTATGACTTTGATGGAATTCCATCCTCTTGTGTCAGGCCGATCGGTTTTCTGCTGAACTCGGTATGAGTAAAGGACTTCAGGAAGGCCTCATCGAACTTCAGCGTAAAAATCTCTCATCCTTCACTGTCGATCCTGTGTAAGATAATCTGACGTCCTCTCTCTCTGTAATCCATCTCACTTCAGTTATGCGTGGTTTCATTACTCCCATCCTCATTTGATCGAGCGTCTGAAAGCCTTGCGGGAATTCGACGAAGCGTCAGAGAAGAAGGAACGATAGAGACGTTCTATAGCAAGGGAAATTCTATAGCTACAATATCGTTTTGTTTTGTATCAATTTGGACTGAGCACTGGTCGCTTCCAGAGGGACAGACCAAATATGATTGGAGCATTACTGAAGAGATTCTCCTCAAAAGGTGAAGGATTCAAGGAGTGGTACCAGCATAGTCGAAGGCGCCAGAGCAGATATTGGCTGGCGGTCGGACTGGGGCTTGGAGTAGTCGTTGGGAAACTGAATCGCTACATCCGACTGGCACGTTGTGAATTCGGAGATCATGTCCTCATCACCGAATATTCTATTGACAGGAAAGATGTTCAAGAGTTTGAGAGGCATTGGAATTTACACGCAAAACTGACACAAGGGTGTGAAGGGTACATTGGGACAAAGCTCTTCAAAGTGTTGAATAGAGATTGGCCACGTGAAGGTGAAAACAGTCAATCAGAAGATGTTCAAGAGGTGATGGTGAGTTTAAGAGCAATCAATGAGCAATAAGAGCGCCCCATTTTCTCAGGAGCCCTCCTCTTCCAGATCTTACGAGCTCAATCAAGGAGTTACTAACACTCCAATTGAAGTTGAGGAAGACAAGAGACTCCCGTTTCAATACTTGCAGGTAAGGACTTCCAAGAATTGCTGGAATTAGTTCAACTTGATCGTGAATCCACGATGACACTGTTTTTAGATTCGGTTGTGGAAACACCCTGACTTCGAGGCGAAATGGCGACAACATGAAAAAATTGCGAAGATCGTGTCAGAAATGCAAAGCTTGTGTCAATCTGTTCAAACGCAAGAGTACACCACGCTTTCAAATGATTCAATCCAGCGAACAATAGAATAGTTTTTCTCTGTTCCGCGTCTCACGACCTGACAACACAACTCGCTCTCCTCTTTTTTTTCTGTCGTCTGACCCAGGATCGCCCAGTACCCTCTCCACAACCTTCTACTTGCTCTCGAAATTCATTTTACTAGAATATAATGACTCAACTTACCTGGGACCACTCTGGAGCAACCGATTCCGTTGAACTGAACCCCGCTCAGGCTTATGGTGATCATTCCATTGGCCTCGCTCCTCTTTTCCAGCCAAATGCAATAGCAGTAATCGGAGCCACAGATCGCGATGGAGCCGTCGGGAAGACGATCGTTCAAAACCTCATCGACAGCCGAAAGAGTCGCAGTTACGCCATCTACCCCGTCAATCCAACCCGAAAGACGATTTGCGGCCTTCCCGCATTCCCCGATGTCTCAGCGTGTCCCACAGCTGTTGACTTGGCAGTCATTGTCACTCCATCAAAGACGGTTAAGGGTGTGGTTGAATCTTGTGGTAAAGCCAAAGTTCCAGCAGTGATTGTTATTTCTGCTGGGTTTAAAGAATTGGGCGAGGAAGGGCTACAACTCGAGAATGATGTCATCGCTGTCGCTCGTCAGTATAACATTCGCCTCGTCGGACCAAACTGTCTCGGAATCATGGCACCTCATTGGGGGGTGAACGCGACATTTGCTGCAACAGATGCCCTTCCCGGAAGCATTGCTTTCATGTCCCAATCAGGTGCAATGTGCACTGCTGTGCTTGATTGGTCACTGAAGGAGCGTGTTGGGTTTTCTGCGTTCGTGTCTATCGGCTCAATGGCGGATATAAACTGGGGCGATTTAATCGACTATCTAGGAAATGACCCCCAGACTGAAACCATCCTGATCTATATGGAGACAATTGGCGACGCTCAGCATTTTTTGAGCGCTGCAAAGACCGTCGCTTTGCATAAACCAATCATAGTCATCAAAGCGGGCCAAACTGAGGCTGCTGCTCAAGCTGCTGCTTCACACACAGGATCTCTTGCAGGATCACATGACGCCTTCCTTGCAGCAATGAAAAGAGCCGGAGTGGTCGTTGTCGATAGAATTGGAGAACTCTTCGATTGCGCTTTAGTTCTTTCAAAACAGCCGCGACCTCGAGGAGAGAATCTGCTCATTATCACAAACGCCGGAGGACCAGGTGTTCTGGCGACGGACGCAACTGCTCTTTCCGGCGCCACAGTTTGTCCGCTCGAAAAGAAGACGATTGAGGCTCTCAATGGATTTTTGCCGGCCGCTTGGAGTCATTCCAATCCTGTGGATGTGTTGGGTGATGCCAGTGCTGAGCTGTATGCCCGAACTATGGAAGTTGCTCTCGCCGACAAGAATGCCGATGGAGTGTTAGTGATTCTCTCACCACAGTCCGTCACGGATTCAACTGGTACCGCGAAGAAGGTCATCGAAGCTTATCAACGAATGCGAACTGCTGGAACTTTGACGAAGCCGATTATGTGCTCGTGGATGGGAGGCACTGAAGTCAGCGAGGGTTTTAATCTCCTCAACGCCAACAGCATCCCGACGTTCCCATATCCAGATGCTGCAGCACGCACATTCTCAAAGATTTGGAGCCACACCAAGCAATTGAAGGCGATGTGCTCACCACCCACAATTAGCGTTGAGCCTTACTGTGCAACGACAAGAAAGGAGAAGGCGCTTGCGATAATGAAGGAAGCCAGAGATCAGGGACGCGATCTGTTAACAGAAGCAGAATCCAAGCAGGTGTTGAAGGCGTTTGGGATTCCAATCGCTGAAACCGTTGTTTGCTCAACTGTCGAGCAAGCAATCGAATGTGGAAAGGAAATGGGATTCCCTTGTGTTGTGAAGCTTAACAGGTACGCACTTTAATCTGAATGTCCGTTTCATGACAACAGCTGAACAGTGATTTCTTATCTCTTGGTCTGTCCATTTCAGCGGAACAATCACCCACAAATCTGATGTCGGTGGTGTTCGATTGAATATCAAGTCGACTGAGGAAATTCGTGAATCATGGAATATAATAAAAGCAAATGTTGACAAGATCGGACCTGATCATTTCCAAGGTGTTTCAGTGCAGCCCATGCTGAAGCTTGAAGACGGCATTGAATTGATTCTTGGATCGATTGTCGACAATCAGTTCGGTCCTCTGGTTCTTTTTGGAACTGGTGGCTGTATGGTAGAAATCTTCAAGGATAGTGCTCTTGGGGTCCCTCCTCTTAACTCCACTCACGCGCAAATCCAGATCGAACAGACGAACATTTACAAGGCGTTGAAAGGTGGTCATGGTCAGCGTTTTCCTGGGGTTGATGTCGAAGCGTTGAATAAGGCTCTTTGCAAGTTTTCTCAAATGGTCTGCGATCTATCAGAGTTGATGGCTGAGTGTGACATCAATCCTCTCTTGGCTCTTCCCAATCGCCTGGTTGCTCTCGATGCCCGAGTTGTTCTTCGGAAACCAGATCAACCAGTTCCCTCCTTGGCCATTCGTCCCTACCCGCAGGAATACATTTTCAACAAGTCGGTTGCAGGTAAAAACGTCACTATTCGCCCAACTTTCGCTAGCGACGCTGGTGCCATCGTTGACTTCCACAAGAAGCTCTCGAGTGAAACAGTGGCACATCGCTATCTCCGCGAAGTTTGCCTTGAAGAAAGAATTTCCCAACAGAACATCGTGTCGCTGTCCGATTCTGACTACGCTCGTCTTATCGCACTAGCGGTTGTTGATGACGCTACGAGCGAGGTGCTCGCAATTGCGCGCATCGCCCGGTGGCCTTCATTGCTAACAACAGCCGAGTTAAAGGTACTTGTTCGTGACGACGTCCAGAAAGAAGGATTCGGTACTGCTTTGCTGCAATGCGTTTTTGAGGTTGCCAAGCAGGAAAAGATCAAACGGCTTCAATGTCTTGTCTTGAAAAGCAACACTGGTTTCCTGAAACTTGCAGGAGAGTTTGCAATGAAGCTAGAGCCACATCGCTCAAATCCAGAACTCCTTCAATGTCTATTCGATTTTTAATTCTATCGCCCGGTCTAGGACAGCTGGCTCCAACGAGGATGGCCCAGCCTTCAATGTATAATAATTTCGTTGTCTTAGGGGTTCTACTTTTTCGATGTTTTTTTTCTTTGTCCTGAAATTTCTTCATAATAGATGGTTTTTTTTCTCTGGAATTGCCCCATAATTTTCCTATTTTTCACTTTTGTTCGAACATGATGCTTAAGTAAAGAGGGAGCTGCAGACACTCAACTGATATTATATCCAGCGCGAGTATTGTCAACTTCCGCTGCAAAAAGTGGGTATCAGTGCGATGTCTCAAATGTAAGAGTTGTTTTGGCCTCTGAATATCAGAAAATATTGCTTGTGTTCACTCCGAACAAGGTGAAGACCAATCACTCATTCAGCCTTTAGTCTGATCTCGCGAGTGGCATTGTAGGGTCGCTGCGCAATACTGTCAGCTGGCTAAAAAATCAATATGCCGGTAAAAAAAATGTTGACATCTAGGGTTTGATATCAGAAAGTTCTTGCATGTAGGCAGCCATAACTTTGGCGCCCATAACATAATTGTCAACGTTGATCTTCTCGTTTTGGCTGTGAGCTCCATCATTGCTGCACCCAATTGGCAACAAACAAACATCCTTGCCTGTACATTCGCTCAATACAAGCGTGATTGGAATGGAACCTCCTTCGCGAATGAGGTTTGGGGCAACGTTGTATACAGTTTGCATCGCACGACGTGCCGCCATGTAGTTGGGAGAATTGGGGTCCGCGTAGTACCAATTGCCTGCATCTGGAGATGAAAAAACTGCTCTGTTTGGCGAGCCTCGCTTCTTCCACAGGTCATTCAGATAGTCTAAGACTTTCTTCTGCGTGTCCTCGCTCGTCATGTCAGGAACCGTTCGAATTGAGAACTTTCCCACGGCTTTTCCAGGAATGACTGTTTTGAATCCTTTTTCAGAGAAAGCCCCTTCAATTCCGTGGATACTGAGGCAAGGGTATCTCCAGATTCCTTGAAGTGTTCTGGCGGGGTCCTTTTCATGGATAAACATCGGAGCTCCCATTTCGGTCCGTCGTTTTGGAATATCGAAGTCAATGCCTTGATACGTTGCTGCTTCTTCTTTACTTAAAGCACGAACCTTTTCCATAATGCCAGGGACTAAGATTTCTCCCTGAACATCAGTCAACTGGCTCAACATCCATACAAGATCGGACATTGCCTCATGAACAAGGCTACCACAGCATCCAGAATGCAAATCTTGGTTGGCACACTCGATCTCAATCAAAAAATAAATCGCTCCCCTCAAGCCTGAAAGCACAGAAATCTACCGCTTCGTTCCATCGAATGCTTACCATATGCAATGCACGGCCTTGTATCTCCCAACCAATAGCTATCTGAAATAACGCAATAATCAATTCCTTGCAAAAATGAGTCCTTCTTCGCCTTCATATCATTCAATAATTCCTCCAGACCAACACTTCCGCTTTCCTCCATCCCTTCTAGAATGAAACGAGCGTTAACAGGATTATTTCCAACTTTCTGGAAGGCCTCAATGGCGTTCGTCCATGCGAGCACCGGGCCTTTATCGTCTGTCGCTCCACGGCCAAAAAGCTTTCCATCCCGCTCCGTCAGATCGAAAGGTTCCGTGTTCCATCCGTCACTCTTCTCAGCCGGCTGCACGTCAATATGTCCATAGATCAGAAGAGTCTTCTTAGACGGATCTTCATTAGCTGAGCGAGCAAGAATAACAGGAGGGAGTTCGACGATCTGCCCCTCAACTTTATGTTGGATTGGAGGCGAACGCAACTCAGTGGAGAATCCAAGCGCTTGAAGACGGTCTGAAAAAAATTGGGCACATTTTAGAGAGTGACCTCGATGCGTCACCCATGCTGATACTGAAGGGATGGCTACTGCGTCACTGAGAGATTTGATGTGGGCATCTTTGTTTTGGTCGATGTGCTCGAAAACCTGAGAAAGGACCGTCATGTCAACGAAGTGACGCAGGTTTGATCTGTTTGAATGTCCCAAATGTGCGTCGCTTCCAGGAGAAAAGCGCTGCACTCCAGCGTCTCCAAACAAGCGATCGCATCGTTGTTATGTTTGTATTTATGAAAATAGAACTTCAAGGATTATTGAGTCGATTGTGGAATTTCTTGTTAGCCAAAGAGATTCTTCGGCGTCCATAGTTCATGAAGTCACTCGAAAAAACGAATTTATCCAACCATTTGACGCTTGACAAAATAAATTCCTAGAAGCAGCGACAGGCTGCGAAACCTGAACGAGATGGAGAGCGTGATAAAAAATTAAAGAATAGGCTAGACTGCAGAAACACATTAACGATTGGCTTTGATTGACAGAAGTAAGATATATATTGGTCAGTTCTTCCTTTCCTTTCATTGTTATCAACATCAACTCACCCGACGGTTAAACCAATCAGAACCCAAATATCGCGTAGAATGGAATTACAGAGATAATCGATAGAGTTACACTGTTCAGAGAATAATTCTGATCCGAGTAGAAATTCAGGCCACTGAAGAAGACAGATGATTTGTGAGGGACGAAGTTGAAGCTCTGTACAATTCTTTCTCTCCTCCAAAGTGTTATGAAGGGATGCCTTTGCAACGACCTAGGGCTGCATGAAGGGCGTTACCTTGTTTCCCTTGACAGTCTCCTTTGAGAATAAAATAGAAGCATAAGCATGATATGAATAACGCGAAGGGGAAACAACAGAAAGAAGACGAATTGGTTCCCATAGCTGATCTAAACGAAGAAAAAAGCCGCATAAGAGAAGACTTATGGATAAAAGTGTAACAGCGATTGTTGAGCTCCAATGTGGCACCTGAAATAACGGCAGCAATTAGAGAGGATTTTGTTTTGACCGCTAACGTTCAGGGTGGTTGCAGCACATGACACTGCATACACAATGGATGCAGACGAGTTCGCTGTCAGGATCGCGATCAGGGAGCTCCATAGAAGACGAGCTAGATTAAGCTTAGTAAAAAAAATTGTAAGATATACGACTCTGAGATAGAGAAATATCGAGGCAGCTGACAACTGAAACCCAAGAAAGTTGTTAAGTGGCTTCAGTTGTTGAGTCTGAAGGAACAACTAGGACGGGCTTACATGTTTGTCAATAAAGGAAGAAGGATATAAACAGGCCCATCTGAAATTAATTGCGCAAGAAGATGCAATCCGCCCCGAGAGATCCCCGCGCTGTCCTCGTAGTTGATCAATTTGAGATGAGAACCGAATGTTGCTGCAATATTGGCTCCATGCTGTAGCGTCTACAAGAGGCATCAGTACCAATGAGTTGCACAATTGAATCAGTTGCGCAACGGTGTACCAAGTATGAAACGACGATAGCAGCGAGACTCAACGCTGACCACGCTCCACGTTCAGTCCCCAAATTTAATCTGATGACAAAAGGCATCATTGAAGTGGAACGGTCTGGACTGACCCTTGAAAGAGAGACGTTAAGGATAAGGCAGACATGAGAGTTTTGTGAATGTCGAAATGTCGTTGATCTCGCAATCCAGACATGAAGCAACGACCAAAAAGATGGGCGAACTCTGCAAACCTGGCACATGTATGAAATTTGCATACTGCTCATCACATCTCACCCACTGAGTGGTCGCCTCTCTCTGTTCTTGAGTTGTGAAACCGAATCAACAACTATTACGATAGAGTCACGCTGAAGGAAACAACCAATTAACATTTTTAAGTGGAAAAGATCTTTTGTCACTTCTTGTTTGCCATCCACAGGCAATAGTCGCTCTTGCGTGCCATCGAGATCCATTGCATCCTAGAGATAACGGAACCATTCGTCGTGATGCACTCAAGTCCCTACTCGTTCTTTTATGAAATCGTTCCCATGAGTGCGAAATTGAACCGCCCACCTGGCGACAGTCCAATGCAATTGAGATGGTACGACGGCTTACTGAGATGTTAGCGACCGAGCGACTTCGATTCCTCCAGTTTTGAAATCTGAGCAGTTTTCAAGTAGATTCAGGTAACGAGTCACGTATTGTATTGGATCATCGTGCTCAGGTACTTGCAAGCCACAGTAATTGAACCATGGCGGTATAAGATTAACTGGACCAATATAAACGGGTTGGCCATGAAGAAGAAAGATGACCTTCAGAAAGGAGGCTAGTAAGCAGGAGGAGAACCGCATTCATTTTTACCTTGTCAAAGAGTTTGAGCTGGTAGCTTGGTGGGTTGGAAAGACTACAAATCACTGTACGATCTGCACAGTAAATGCAGCAAGGAGCAGACTCTCTGTCGGGTTCAGAGTTGTCTCACCCTTATTTGCAAGTTTCCTCATTAATTGCAGCATCTGAACGGTTTCTTGTTCAGCGATTCCAGCGCGACTGGGGTCATCCGCAATCAAGAGAGAAGGACTGTGTAGAAGCTCTGCTGCAAGCGTCACAGTCCATCGGGATCGGCTGCTTAAAGCTCTGATGATGCGATTAACAGTCTTCCGAGAGTTGTGCAGATCAACTGACCTGGATCGTAATTCTCCATAACCACCTATCCGCCACCCCAAGATTTCACTCAAATCAACGCGTCTGCAAACGCGTCTCACGTGCTCTTCTCGCTGTTTCTTTGTCCCCTTCAGCTTCAATCGTGCTCGCGAGAGAAGGTATTCCGCAACAGTCAAATGATCAGGAAGCTCAGATTCACATCGAACAATCCCAGTGGCCCTGAAATGGAAAGAAGCAATCCCTTCAATCCTTTCCTGTGAATTATGCACCTGCGGAGAGCTTCTTTATCGAGAGGTTCCCCATTTATTTTGATCTGGCCTCTTGTCAATGGCAAGATACCAGAAATGGCTGAAATGAGACATCTGACTCTGACAACAAAAGATTTCTCACCTTTCAACAATGTCGTTTTGCAAGAACCTGAGGGCCCAACGACTGCAACTGAAAGCGAGCCAGAGAGATGGAGTCTTGATTGACGCACTTACACATTTCTCCAGGGTTCATTGTGCACGTGACTGCATTGAGGCCTTCGCATATGCAGGAGGATGGTGGAATTGAATCAGATGGAGGTTCCAGTTCCAGCGACGGTTTTGCTGGTCGTTTATCTTGTGCGAAGCAGCACCACCCCTTTGGTTGTCCGCAGATGTCAACTATAGCAGGGAAACGAGAATCGATGCCTGATAAATCTTCTCTCACTTGATACGTCCTCCAACTCAATCCTGATCGGGTCTGATGTCTTCGTGAAAAACGACTCCATTCTCACGCGCGGTTTTTGTTCTCGCGGTGCTTTCTTTGGAATGGAGACATCCATACTCTGCAGTTCATCAGCATTCCTCGGAGTGGCGGGTTCTGAACACTCTGTGACGTCCGACATCTTAGAATGGAAACAGGATGCTTTATGGAGATCGGTTTCAAGTCCGAGATCATCCATTTGGTGGAAAGAAGTTCTGGAGGACGCAGTCATGAACGACTGCGCGCGGCTGACAGTTTGTCGTATTTCGGAACATTTTGAGGAAGCACGGGTCCCGTATGGCATCGTAGGTTCAATTGGGACGAAACAGCTTCAGGTTGAAACGATAAAAGGTGAACAGTGTCAAAGTTGCACGTCCCAGCACCCCGTTCCACCACGAATACTTATTTGCTGGTTGAGACTTCTTGCGTCTCACTTGCTCTGGGCATCCTTCAATTCAGGGGTCTGATACGGTCTCGGAGGCGGACACCTCTTGCATCTTCTTGTCCCTCTGGATTGGTGGGTGGAAGAGTTTGGGTGGTATTTTAGTGTCAGTTGACTCAATCGACTGCAGTTGCTGTGAGAATGCTGTTATGTGAGCGGGCGGTTCTTTTGTTCCATTGAGCGAGAATGCACTCTTTTTTTGAGTGAGATAACAAACATGCATCGTAACCAAGCGACAAAATTCGTACTTTCTATTCATGAGAATCCCTTCATGTTCATTGTCCATTACAGTCAGCCATTGGTAATTCCTGAGCGTTGAGCGTGACAAATCGTCTTCTGTAATACTTGGCACTTATTGATTCGCTGATACAAAACTTCATTACCCATTAAGACGCGACTCGTCACGGCATTACACTGATGCATTCAACGAGCGTTTCCTGGCTTGAAGAAGTTGGGGAATCTTGTCGTGATGGGGATCACGGCAAGCAGTCCCACGCAGCAGCAAGAGCGCTCTGGCGAAAGCACCAACTTGTTCCTGCGTTGTGAATCTAAAGATCTTCACACGATGGTTGTCGAATCTTGTTATCCATCAGCTCTTCTCCCCAGCGGTGCAGTACTTCAGGCGTAATTTCGTCGAATCTCGTCCCAGTTCTGTGAGGAAACTCAACCATCGAGTTAGAAGAACAAAGAGTTTGGATTGATTGTTTGGGCACAAATTCCATCTGTGGAGTTGCGAACATCAGAACAAGAAGGTCACTAAAAAAATCTCAACAGCCAACTTCTTTCTCTATTTTGCGGACGACTTCAAAGTAACTGGTTCCACTTTTACGGCAAGCCTCGAAAGACTCCACGAGAAGCCCCAAGGACGTCGCGTAACCGGTTGGGTCGCGTAGTTGCCACTGAATGGTAAAAAACATAGAAATGCTGAAGGATTGGTCTCCTACCTGTTTAAATGACTCCCATCTCCACCGTGTGAGAATATCAGACATAAAAGGGTCAGTGCGTTCTCGAAGAGTTGGAGCTTTGTCTCCCATCAAAACGTTTGCCGTGGTGTGCATATCGTCCACAATGCGAGCAACGGGCAGTTTTGGATTCGGATTTTGAAGCTCTTCTAGTGCTGGCTTGTAATACGCCTTTGCCATGAATTGAAGCTTTTTCGCTGCTAATTTAACCTTTGGGGTGGCTAGTGCTTTCTCTCCCTGAAACGAAAACACTGTAGTATCCATTTGGTGGAGAGTGACTCACTTCAGCATTTGCACTCACGAGTGCGACAACTGTAGCGACAACATTTTGCTTTTCTTCAATATCATATTCTATTGATTTCAACAGCA